GCCTCGTATTTTCAACTAATGCCCGGACGTTTGCCCTTGAAGGTACGATCACATACAGCTTCGTCATGGCCAACGGCGAGAAGCTAAAATTCGAAATAAATAATCGGACGGGCGTGATAAGGACGACCCACATGCTAGACAGGGACGAACCTGCCCGTGAGAAAGAGGTCTATCTGACTGTCCTTGCCACGGACAATGGCAGGCCCCAACTGGACGATGTCTGCACGTTCAAAGTCACCGTCGAGGACATCAACGACAACGCGCCCGTCTTCGACAAAGTCGTAAGTCTCATTTTGTCATTTGCCTCTCGTGAAACGAATCGCAAACAAAAACAAAAAACAAAAACAAAAATCATCGTCTCCTCATTCGCAACATATTTCAGCTCTTATTTATTATTTTAACGTGTAATACTTATGGGGTTTTTTTTTTTTTTTTTTTTTTTTTTTCATAATCCCCTCAACGCCTTCTTACTCGTTTCGTGTGACTTCCTCATATATCATCGTCTACCGCTTATCTAACCATAATTGATATGTACATGAACAAAGAAGCGCATCATTGCATCCAAATGCCTGACGGGTTGTGTTATTCATTTATGTTTTTTTTTTCTTTCTTTGTCGCTCATACATCTCTATATTTGATATTGGACGAACGTGGTGGTCGGTCGTCTTCTAGTACTTTGAAGCACTGGCAAACGTCATTTTTTAATATTCTTGCAATGCTGATTTACTTAATAAAAACACACACACACACGCACACACACACTCTCTCTCTCTCTCTCTCTCTCTCACACAACAAACAAACAAAAAACAAAAACAAAATTCAATAAATATATTACGTACAAGTCTCGTCGGTTTATTCGTACGACTTTATAGCTTTATAGAATCGTATTATTCTAACCATTTTCTCGCACAAATGCATACACAGTAGCAATACATACGCGGACAATAAATAATAGCGTGCATTTGTAAGTAAATACGCATTATCAGGATGTAAGAAATTATTGATACGCGCCGTTTGTCACTCCGATACACCAGTGTAGCCTCATTAATCTCATTTTCATCGATTTATCCTCTTTATAAAAGTTAATCCCTCAATAATATTACCTAACAATGCTGACGTGCTTAATTGAATAATACGGTTCTGCAAGCTCTTGTATAATTTTTTTGTTATAGAACTTTCGTTGAATTACTAATTAAATACAAAGTTAAATTAAGTTATTGATTAAAAGATTGCAAAAGACAAGTAATCATAGAGTAAGAAATGAAAGTAATTATCTTAGCTTATTAACTATAAGCGACTACTGCTGCATCCTTGTTTCACCACTACCTACTAATATTTAACAAAATTTAACAATATTTAACAAAATTTGGACTGCTTGAGTAAAGACGACACTAATATATGTACGTATGCTTCGATTTTTTGCCATCGATTATAGGACTTCTGGGGACCCGGGTCGAAGGTTGGTTTCTGAATTTACTGTGCGCACATAAACACACGCACACGCTGAGACTTGAATGCGAACATGAGCTGAGTGTTGCTGCCGTGATATATATGTGTTATAATTTGAACTTTGTATTCTTGACTTGTTTGTGCCGTATTATGCGAGTGATGTTCGTCATACGTAGGCACACCCGCGCGCGCATACCTATGCACACTCACGCACCCACGTATACAGTTGTGCGTGATTGCGTGCGTGTTTACGGTCACGGGTGCGCGCGCGCGCGGTGCCTACTCGCACATGAGCATGAGGCGTTTGGGTGATGAGGGAAGGGTATGTGTATATGTTGAGTACGCCAAATGTGTGTCTATCTATTTATATTTTTTATTTTTGCTTTTACGAGGTGTCCGTGTAAATAAATCGGACCGCTAATGACTATAATAACTCGTCTAAAAACTGTTTACATACGATGCATGTTTGTTTTTTTTCTTTTTATGAATAATATTCACGCACCGATGTTTGCTCTATCTTACTTTTTCTATAATTTTTCACATCTAGCTTTACGCATACGTAGGCATGCGTGTATATAAAAGAGGCTCCTCCTATATTACTCACGATTCGCTATTTTCAATAATTTACGTATTTTTTAAATGAATTATTCATATATACATATATATATATATATATATATTTTTTTTTTTTCTTTTTACTATACTCCTTAACTCATATCTGTAATTCATGAAATAAATTTTGACGAAATTTTAATAATTCGAAATTTCAAAATATTAATGGCTGTGCAATAAGCTGTTTATTGAATCGATATTTATTTAAGCTTCAATATATTTATTCGAATAAACATAATTGCTGTAGTTTTTCAACTAAATACATTAATTAAATTGCGCGTATTATTATAATATTTTTAAAGAATAACTCATCCTTAAAAACAAATACTAAATTACGGGTCTTAGTTATAACATCTACATGTGTGTGTGCGCGCGCGCGCGTGCGTGCGCGTGTGCGTGTATGTATGTATATGTATATGTTTTTAACAAAAATTTTTGCTTGATAAATTGAATATATCGTATACTTAATGTGAATGATCCAAGCACGGACATGTTAATTGATCGATGATAATCTTAATTTTTTGCCTTAATGTAAACATATCGACTATACTTTTTGCACTTTCGATAATTCTAATATTTGATAGAAATATAATAGCGAACATTTAATTATTTATCTATAAAATTTATTTATTGATAAATAAATGTCAAAAGATCTTAATATTGCATAAATTCAAGAGAACTAAAATGTGTAAAAATTAATTTTTCAAACTGCTAATAAAATGTTATTTCATTTTCTTGTTGGTGTATTTATAAATAAGGTTGAATAAAAAATTATTGAAAAAAAAAACTCGAATTTATTAAAATTATTTATTATGATAATGAAAAGTCTGTATTTAAATAAAGAAATCATGTTCTGAAAATCAATAAGGTTTTCCTCGCATGCGTTATAAATTGGTAACTGGATCATTTATACGTTACCCAAATCTTTCATTTTTACATACTTTTGCATTATCCACCGAAGCTTTTTTCTACAGAATCGAACATTTTTAATGTAACATGAAAATCAGATATAATACAAATATGCATGCAGATGTAGATTACTATCTACTGCAGTGTATAATGGAAAAATCGATGACACAGTAGCGTCAGCAGCTCACTGTATATACGATATTTTGCATGACTTCGATAGGCTCATGAGTTATGTGTGTTTTAGCACTTTTATTTTATTAAATGTCTATACACGTGTCAAGTGATTGGATTATTTTGATGAGAAAAGTGCTTCTTTATGTGCAATTTCTATGCGACAGTCGTTCATTATTTACTAATAATATGGCGGTTGGTTGGAATGACCGGATCGATATAATCAGCCTATATGAAATAATCAACGCAGTTATATTTTGTATTCATTTTGATACACTCTTCAATTAATCTCATGCTCATTATGCATTAGCAGATAAAATTTATTATTAATTAGAGGGGCGGCGGGGGGAGAAATGAAAAAATGAAGAAAAAAAAAAAAAAAAAAAACGAGCATAGCCATAAGCAAATGAAAAGATATTAGAATTTTCAAAAGAATATTGTTAGACTTAATTCGTAAAATGTTATACATACTAGTATTTTCTTGTACAGTTGAGTATTAAAAAAATACGGTCTCTCTCTCTCTCTCTCTCTTTCTCTCTCTCTCTCTCTCTCTCTCTCTCTCTCTCTTTAATTTACGAATTTTTTTAAATTTAATAGCTGGAGATTTTATTGCTAATGTTTTAATGCTCGATTGTATCGATATCTCGTTGTAACTCAATTGCTCTTAAATCATAATTTGTAACTTGTAAAAGTCATCTATGTTTATCGTGTATTTTTTTTTGTTAACGATTTTGAAAAATAAATTTAGACTTAAACAATTTAAGAGTTTGCGCGCTCAAGTTCCCAGTCGCAACATATTTCAACGAAAAATATCGCGTTAAGCTATTTGAAGTTCATATACATTGTCGAACACTGATAGTAAACGATACACACACACACACACACCAGTGTACGTGCCATTTTACTTTGTCCAATTTTGATTTCATAGCATATATAATGAATTATAAAGTCTATTTATTATTAGAGAATAATAAATTAGAAAAAATATTAATTTTTTTAGTAACGTTTAATACAGTTTTAACCGTATCATCATAGTCAGTTCGATGACGTTTCCGATTACAACTAAATTTATATTTAACAATTTTAATAATTTTCAAAAAAAAAAAAAAAATAAATAAATAAAAGAATCTCAAATAATCGAGTTACAATTTCTTAGTTATACAAAACTATCAAAAAGACACTAGTAAACGTCCAATGGATAAAGTAAAGAAATTTGCAGATTAAATGGAAATTGCATACAAGTAATTATTTTAATTTCTTAAGTTAATTAATAGTTATAGTAATTTGTTGCATTTAAATTTCTATGATTTTCGAATATCAATATTCCAATTTACATGAAAGGAAGAGGAAATGGTATTCATTAAACTCGAGAGAATTCGTATAGATATAAATACATGGAAAATCCACTAGTTGCTTCTCTTAGAGTGAAGTTTCGCGAACGAATAAAACAATATAGATGTTTCGACAAATGCGTATTGATTTTCAAATTCGGAAACATAACAGGGAAATATCAGCACGGATGGCTCATATAAGTGAAAGTTATGGAAATTATTTTACTTCATTAAAGCTTATTTTATGTCGATAATTTTCTATTGTTTTATCGCATCGATTGTTATTTGGAGCGAATGTAATTGTCGATAATTATTATAATAATAACATATATATTCCCACATAACGTCGATAATGTTGTTGTTATAATTTTATGGAAGGAAAAGTATCTGAGGATGTTATAAAAGAGAGCTACGAATACGTCAGTGTTACTTTGGATTTTCGAATTGATTTCTGTCCGTAACTCATGAATTTATAGCCGCTTAGATCGATCGATTATTATTTCTTTTATGTTCTTGTGATTATTGACA